ATCTCATGGGTGGCCAATGACTGTCTGGCATCGGCAGGAAAAGTGAGCTAGCATATTATCTATTATGTAAAATGTGTTATTAATTTAAATTAATTTTGTAGACCGACTGTACAGCTACCGAGTTGGCAGCACTGACAAAGATCCTGAATGAGATTATCGCTATGGGTGATGCCGGCTCCTGTAAGGCCTACCCGTACACCAAGGACATTAAGACCTGTACTAAATAAATATTTTAAATCAATTAAAGGTTGTAATAAAATAAAAGTTATTTTATTTAATTAAAAATAAATATTTTAATTCATTTAAATGGTATTGGACATCATTTCGATCATAACTTTTACAATATTTTGCTTCACGTCCCTTAAGTGACCTTGTTATTTACTTTTAAAGGGAATCCCTTTACTTGCCGTTTTACAAACGATGACCCTTGTAATTTGCCAGTAGAAATGCTTTTACATTTTTGCTAATTTGAAATTGTTTACATTAAAAAATTATATACAATAAATGTTTAATAAAGCTTATAGATTATAAATGTATGAATTACAAAATTAATACTATCTAATATTAACTACATTTTAATTTTAGTAAAAATTATTACATAGAAATTAGAGCGAAATATTTAATAAAGATGGATTACTTTCCATGTTTTATAATTTAAATTCCCTGCCCTTCCCTTGTAAAGTACAGGGAGGACCCTGGGAATTTACAAAACAGTGAAAATAAGTTGTCCCTCTAGACCTACGACGCGCATACATTGTGATCCGGACCACATTAACAGTGACAAAACAGTGACTATTATAAGACTAGTCAGTGTGAGGCTTAATGTTAAAAGGTTTAAGGTTTTGTCACTCATAGTGTGGCCCCAAATGGCTCCATGTGTGCATCGTAGCTCTAGACAATATCTTAAGAATCTTAAATAAACAAAATTAACTAGAGCAAAATTCACAATTTAAATAACAAGTTAGTAATATACTACGTTATTAAGTTAGTACTGGACATTAAAGAAAGTAATTGCGCAATGCATTTCTTGGAAACTAAATTTCATAAAATTATATACTGGATTAATTTTGAAAAATTATATAAATTTTGTTTCCAAGAAATACTTTATGAAACATTTTCTTTAAGGTCATATAAAACACTTGGAATTGTTCTCGAATAAAATATCTATTGCATGTATATGATGAATTATCTACTTAAATGTGACTTCACATAATTTCTTAGGAAATTTATAAAGTAATCAATATTAATACACAGTATGTGGTCAATATTGCAATCCATGTGGTAAAGTGCCATATCATTTAAAATTAAAGTTGGAATTTATGATTAACTTTTATCATAATCCTTTCATAATCCATGTCAAATTAATTTTGTATATAAACTCTATTTGTTTAAATAAATTTACTAAAAATTGTGAACAAGTTTTTAAAATAAACTACACAAATCATAATGCTAAAACTAACTGTGCTAGTTTTAATCGCAATGGTATATTGTGCATATGGTACACCGACTATGCCACATTTATTGGATAGTATTGTTACTGATCCGGACATTGATCTAGTTAACGATCCGTGTTTTAAGAAAAGTACACCTGATGCAAATACTTGCTTACTAAAAAAGTTACCCGACTTTGACCCACACGATTCCGACCCTAAATATGTCTGTTGCCTGAAGTCCATTGCCGTAGACTGCCTGTCCACCGTTGGAAAGGTATGTATTGTATATTATAAAGTTTATAATTTTGCATATTTTTGAAAATTTATTTAATGAATGCATTTACAGGTTGACTGTACGGCCGATGAGGTTAAGACTATGAGCCATATCATGGATGAAGTCATAGTCAAGTCGGATGCCGGAGAGTGTAAGGCCTACCCATATGTCCACGGATTAGAAACTTGCAAAAAATAGTAATCAATTGTATACTGGTGTTAATTTAAATAAACACGTTATTAATTTTGTAAAGATTTTAATGTAAATTATAAAAATAAATGCATAATTATTAATTTAATGTTTATATATTTTTTGAAATTAGTTTCATAAGCAAAATAAAAATTATAAAACAATTTTTGCTAAATTATTTTTAAATATGTTCATAACCACGAATTTTATTATGTCAATGTTTAATATCGTAATTTTGTTTTTGTATCCAGTATGTTTTAATGATAATCATAAATAGATATATTAATGTTAGTAATTTTTATACCTAGGGTTTATAACTATATTTAGATTAAGATTAAACTTTTCATGAAAATCTTGCACATGAGATGTGTAAGTGATAACATCATAAACATTTTAATCTTTATTATTATACAACTTAGCAAGATAATTTATAACAAATAACTTTGCATTTCATTTTATTTACAAAAACAAAATTGTATTTCATTTTATTATGGTATATATTTTAGTATATAAACAATCAAGCAAATCATTTTTATATCATAACTTAAACCTATTTTAACAATTAATTTGTAATAATGGTACTAATAAGTGTGCTTGCTTTAATATTTGCTGTTAAAAGTGTCTACACTATACCTGATCTGGCACCAGGATCCCTATTATTGAGTGTTATTGACAATGATCCAGGCACTGATATACTGAATGATACATGCGCTTTAAAATCTAGAGACGATGGCTATAATTGCTTGATTACCAAGGTACCAGACATAGACCCTTATAGCGATGACCGGAAATACCTGTGCTGTCTCACATCAATTGCCGCTGACTGTCTGTCCACTGCCGGAAAGGTACGTATTTTTATCGTTTTGTTTTGTTTTATTTAAATAAATATTTAAATTATTTTCTAAACACAGACCGACTGTACGGCCGATGAGTACAAGACTATGAGCCATATCATGGATGAGGTCATAGCCGTGTCCGACACCCATTTCTGTAAGGCCTACCCATATGTTCACGGATTACAAACTTGCAACAAATAATTATTACAATCAGCATAATATACTAAAAATACAATGTACTGTAATATTGTACTGTATAAGGATTATGAGAATTTAAAGATTTAATAAATCAATTAATTAACACAATATTTATTATGTTACAAATTTATACTGAATATTTCACATTTTTATAATTTATAAAAACTTTTAATACAGTACCACAATAAAAACATTAGATAATAATATTAATTTTTATAATACACTCAGGAAATACCAGTATTGTATAAAATTTTTATTATATTACAATAATTTATTTCTAGAGTAAATCAAGAACAATAATAAAAACCATTGTTGCTAACAGTTACAAAGGTTTACAAACTCTTAATTATTTATTAATATTTACTTTTTATAACACAATATCTTTGATCCAATTCATAAGTAATGTTAGTAACGGAAATGATATATCAAATACTTTTGCCTTTTATATGAATATAGTATTAAATATATAAAGAATGTACTCTTTCAAAATCAAGTCATTTCTATAAAGTGTTAAATATACGTTTATGATCAAGGAAATATAATTAATTGAATAATTATGGAGAAAGAAGATATGCTGAAGTGGTTATTAATAATTAGTGCCATTGTGTGCATTATACTCATTATAGTTGTCATCTCGGTCATTTGGTACGTGGCGGCACCATCACCATACTGATGATCATGATTTTCAACTCTCACCTTTCACCAACATCTTTTATCCACTCATTTTGTATAATTATTTATATATTAATTTTAAATTAAATAATATTTAATAAAGTTTATATAATATAAAGTTATAATGATTTGTTATAATGTTAAAAATTATAATAAGTAATATATTTCTAATGGCTAGTATTATATTAGCTTGTTTAAATTATTTTTTCAAATAGCCTTTTTCATTATAAAATAAAACAAATGGACAAATTGATAATTTTTAATTCAAACTATCAATTATAAATTATTTAAATAGTACTGTACAGTATACAATATTTGTACACTATAATCAAATATTCTATTTTAGCATGAATTAAAATTAAAATTAGCATGGATTTATTCAAGCATAAATAAAAATGTGCTTAAATTGTACAATATTCTTTTAAATGTGGTACATTGCCTTTTAATTATGATGCCGACTATTGTAAATTAAAATTGTCGTGAAATTAATACAATGTCATTAAATATGGTTGGTTTCATAATAATGGTATAACACTTTTTTACGCGAGATATTTATATTAATTAATTTATTAGAATACGATATTTAATAAAGAAAATATTTAATATTATTATATTTATAAACTAAATGTGATTTATTAATTTATAAAGAATAAGTGTTGTGTACAAAAATGTTCAAATTTATAATAATGCACAATCCTCAAATAATTATTACGAATATGTTTATTTGTTTTCTAATATATTTTATACACGTAGCATGTCATTAATATAAGTTGGCAATAAAAACAAATATCTCTGTTACTATATAAAATTGTAATATTAATGTACCCTGATGATGTTCGATAGTGATATATATTAGATGGATTAATTGATAAATGTAATATTTCCAATAAACTGGAAATTAAATGACTTTTACACATAAATGAATGAAAATCATTGCTTGTATTGTATGTAATCTGTAACTGTTACTTTTATTATCATGTAAAATTGTGATTAGATACGAATGAGTGCATGTGTTGTATTTTTTGTGAAATTCATAAATTGCAAAAATGTATATAAACTAATTGTTTAGAGAGTTAAATGATCAAACAACATTCAGTGACAAACAACTGTTCAAATAAAAGTTTCAATACCGAAAGTATGCAGTATTCATGTAAGTATAGACTTTTAAGCTAGCAATATATAAAATATTTATTAAGTTTTAATTATTTTTTTAAATAATTAGTATTTCTCTCAGTATTTGTTATACTGTTCAATGGATATCTCTGTGTCGAAGAGTGTCCCGACGTGTCAGCCCTACTAAAGCCATGTCTCTGTCAAATAGTAGACGGAAAACGACAGGTCATATGCGAGGGGAAGGATGCCATTGATCTCAAAGCTATATTCGCTAAACTCAGCCATGAATTGGTGGGTAAAGACAAACACTTTGAGTCCATTAACTATGCCAACGAAGTGATTGAGGAATTGCCGGCGAATGTGTTTTCGGACATTGAGTTCAATGAGATTATGATCGGCGGCAGTTGGGATTACACCTGTCGGTTGAGTCGTATACACCGATTGGCGTTCAACGGCACTCACGAGTCGCTTAAGAGACTTGATATAAGGACGCCAATTGTGGACAACAGTCATAATATTGATGGAGATTACGATCTATTCAAAGCTATTCATACATTGGAATCGTTGGAGACGCTATATATTTCCGATACCCTGCTAACTACTATCCCTGACAGTGCTATTCAGTCGCACACAAAGTTGGTTAACATTAATTTTGAAAGTAATCCTATCGTACGGATCGGTAGCCAAGCGTTTAAACATTTGCCGCATTTGCGAAACCTGGATATTAGGAGAAATAAAATCCATGATATCTCTGACAACGCCTTTCCCGTCAATGATGTCTATTCTGATGAGAAACTTGTAATTGATTTAACGGCAAATCTGTTATCGAACGGAACGGTAGGAAAGTATGCTTTCGATGCCATCAAACGACCCGTGGATTTGTATTTATATAACGAAGATCTGCGGTATTTGAATGAAACGGTGTTTGAGTTGTTTGTCAAACAAAATCCATTGAATACAATATATTCAGACATTGGTCTATGTTTTGATAATCGCAATTTGTGGGCCAAAAAGTATCCTAAACAAATTATTGATTCAGTTTGTTAACAAAATTACAAATATATTTTAATTAAATTATAGTTACATATATTAAATATTTTTCAAATAAAATTAAGCATTACCAAAATTAATATTATTTATGTAAAATTATTTCGTTAATACTTCATGAAATTAATATCCTTGATAAGTAAAGCATCCAAATCCAGTTATTTAACTATTTAACTATTAAAATACTTTATTATAAACTTATATGAGTCAAATAATCTAATATTAATTTATTTTTAAATATTATTAATTTACACTTGATAAGAATAATTAACGTTATGGTAAGTTTTTGTCAGACATTCATAATAAAATTTTATTTCATATTAACTTTAAATAGAAAATTAAAACATAATTGAAATGAAATTGTTACATAAACACCATTGATGCAAAGTGCTTATTTTATTAAAGATTTTTATGCTTATTATCTCATCAAGCAAAATTATATAACTATGAGATAATTATTAAACTATGCTAAAGTGCAAACTATTATTGCGAAATTTTTACACATTAATGTGTATCTTACAACAATCGCTTTTATTTATAATCATAAATCTTAACAAAAAATATATATTTTCTATTAAACAAATAATTAATTATAAACAAAACTACTAATAAATCCAACCATAAGTAATTTAAATTTTGCTTTTAATAAAAGTGTTGGTTAGTTATGGTTACATAGTTTGTTATAATTTCTTTTACCGTGATAGAGAAAAACTAAAATTAATATTATGGTATGATAAAGGCATTAATTGTAAAAGTAATGCAACTATAGTTTACACCTTTCATAGAATTAAGCATTCTTAGGTTGAACATTTATCATGATTAGTTTGTTGCTAGCTTAGATTATTTAATACAATATATTCAAGCTATCTTGGTTTACTTTTATAATGAACAGGGTTGATTAGGAGAATATGATAAGTGTTACTAATATACTTAAAAATTAGCACAATATGTTCTTAAAAATAAGACAATTATTAATATTTAGTTCATATATTAAGGTTATATTTGGAATTTAATTAAGTATGATAAAATTTATTACATTTAGTACATATAATAGATATAAGTGATCAGTAAGGTTTCACTAGCCAATAAAACTATGTTTGCAAAAGTTGTATTATAACTATTATCGATATAATTAATTATGATTTAATAATTACATTTTGAAAAGTATTATAAATTATTATTTTATATTTGTGATTTTGTCAATTTAAAAATTATATTAATATTAAAATGCTTAAAATAAATTGCCAAATTTGTGGAGATGATCCATGTGGTATAGACAACTAATTTAATTATATTAAATATTATACAATAATTTTAATTTGTAATATACCAGGTTACAATTATGATTGTTATACATGTGCATCGTGTAAAGAATTCTTTCGTAGGACTATGACGAATGAAAAGGTAAATTATATAAATTAAATTAATTATTAAGTATATTAAGTATTTGCTTATGGTCATATTAACTAATTATAATTAATCCTAATTAGAAATATATTTGTAATTCAAACAATAATTGTGTGATTAATGTGAAAACCCGCATAAAATGTAGAAAGTGTCGCATTGATAAATGCTATGAAATGGGAATGAGATACGTATGTATTATTTTTTTTTTATTTAAAAATACACTTTATTTCTAAATTAAATATAATTATTTTATAATTTAATTTAAATATATTTTTAAATTTATATTAGAATAAGGAAGACCACGGTGTTATTAAAGAAAAATTTAATATCAATCACAAGTTTGATTCAAACCCTGTTAATCAAGCATTTTACGATTTTAACACACTTACCACCTGTAGTGGCAATAATTATACAAGTACCATTTTTGAAAAACCTATACTTGTCACGGATATTCCAACTTATATTAATAATAATGGCACTGAATTTGATGTTAACTACAATAATACTAATGAACCAAGCTGTACGCAAATAGCTTTAGAAATGAACAAGCCAATAACCGATCACCAGTATCAATTAAATGAATTAGAAAGCATCAAGTTGCAAGAAATATTACGATCGACTAATATAACTGTAGATTCATTACAACCATGCGCTATTGTGTATGGCCTAGACCTGAATCAAACACTTGGTACTAG